TTTTTTTTTTTTTTTTTTGGTATGGGGCATTGAACTTGGGACCTTGCACTTTCGAGACAGGCACTGGAACCACTGAGCTAAATCCCTGGCCCAAGGCCCATCTCTTTCTTCTTTATGTCCTTTCAAAAATCAAAATAGTGGGCCAGGGATTTAGCTCAGTGGTTCCACTGCCTGCCTCGCAAGCGCAAGGTCCCGAGTTCAATTCATGGTACCAAAAAAAAAAAAAAATCAAAACAGTGCTATTTTGTTTTGTTTTGTTTTGTTTGTGGTACTGGGGATTGAATTTAGAGCCTTTGCACTGAGCTACATTCCCAACCCTTATTTAGTTTCTGTTTTGAGACAGGGTCTCTCCAAGTTTCTCAGGTTGGGCTCGAGCTTGTGATCCTCTTGCCTCAGCCCCCCAGAGTGCTGAGATTATAGGCATCACTACCATGCCCAGCTCAAAATAGTGCTGTGTTAGTCAACTTTGCGATACTATAACAGCTCACAGTTCTGGAGCTTCTAGTCCGTGACCAGTTGCCCTGTTGTTTTGACCTATGGTGGGTGCACAGGGTGAGCACAGCCATGTACATCATGAGCTATAGAGAGAAGAGAAGGAGGAAATGACCCGGGTCCCATGTCCCCTTCAAGGGCACCCCCAGTGACCTGAGAACCTTCTACCAGGCCTCAACTCCTGACTTTCCCACCATCTCCCAATAGTGCCATCTGGGGACCCAACCTTTAAAACCTGGAGTAGTGCATTGTATCATACAGGTGTCTGATTGACATTAAAAGCTTGGTAGGGAAAACACTTGACAAAGTGCAATTTAACTTGACACACATTTAAATTTTTATATTGCCCAGGAACAGTGGCACAGATTTGTAATCCCAGCACTTGTAAAGCTGAGGCAGGGAGATCGCCAGGAGTTCAAGGATAGCCTAAACTACATAGCAAGGTGGTATCTTCCCAAAAAAATTATTTATGTCTGATTGAGATCAACAGTCACACAAAATAATAGTTTTCACATATAAATTTAATCAGTGATACTCAGTACCATTCAACATCCCTGTGCTGGGATTATCGTAAGACTTAAAGTTTGATTTAGGATAACTGTAAATATACAATTATTGTCTAACATTTTCTGGCTTTTTTGTTTTGTTTTTATTTGTTTTGGTTTGTTTGTTTTGGTTTTGTTTTTAAGACAAGGTCTCAGCTGTGTAGTTCAGGCTGGCCTTGAACTCACTAAGTACCTCAGGTTGGCCTCAACTCAGCAGTCCTCCCTCAGCCTCCTGATTATAGGTATGCACCACCACACCCAGCTTTTTTTATTTATTTATTTTTTTAAAAGGATTTCACTATGTAGTTTAGGCTGGCCTTGAACTCATTATGTAGCTCAGGCTGGCCTCAAATTCACAGGTGATCCTCCTGGCTCAGCCTCCCAAGTGCTAGGAAAACAGGAATGGGCCACCATGCCTGGCTCTAACATTTTCTAAAGTATACTGGGTCCTTTTTTTCCCCTTCACTCTAAACCAAGCCTGTGATTCTTACAATTACTATTCTCTTTCTTCATTTTTTTTTTTTCTTTTCCGGTCTTGGTTTAGTTTTTCCGTCCGTGTGTGTGTGTGTGTGTGT